AAGAAAGTCAAGCGCATGACATCGGAAAAAATGCGTTTTGCATGAGTAAGAAATGTCTCCACGCCATGAGATTCTTACTCAAGAAATTCAAGAAAATCATGTGCTTGACAAAAAAAGCTTCACTAGGGTTATGATTCCGTTAACCAAGAGTTTTTGTAGACATTATGGGTTATCCGATAAAATAGTCCGAATGCTGAAATTACTTTATAAGTACAACAAAGTACAAGTGCGAATCAATAGCGAGTTGTCCGACCCATTCGACATAGAGACAGGTGTCATTAAAAGCGGTATTCCTTCTCCGGTGCTGTTTAACATCTTGTGCGATTTTATCATGAGAAGAGTGATCGAAGAAGTGGGAATAATCGGCGTGAAATTGGCCTATGACAGTGGAGATTTCTTTCATTCGGCACAGGAATCATTTGAAGATCTTAGCATTAATGTGTATGCAGATGATCTTGTGGCAATGTGTGATAATGCTGCTGATTTAGAATCGTTTGTACGAGCATTTGAAAAAGTTACACAAGAACTTAGTTTAACAATGAGCATTAAAAAGACCTGTATAATGTCTCTTAAGCAGCTTAAAGAAGGTGCAGCACGAAAAATCATTAAAGATCAGGAAGTTGACACGTCCGATATTGACATCATCAGTCGCAATCAAAAAATAGACATCGTCGAATTCGCTGCCTATCTCGGATGTTTTGTTTGTAGGAACCATTTTCCAGAAAAGGAAATAGAAACGAGGATAACGAAGGCCTCAGTAGCTTTCAACATGCTTCGAAATGTGATTTGGTATCGAAAAACTGTAGCGGTTGAAGCAAAATTAAGCATCTTCCGGTCATGTATTATACCAGTTTTATTGTATGGCAGCGAGGTTTGGTCTATAACGTTGGCCCGTGAAAAACGGTTAAACACATTGTATATGGCTTGTTTACGAACAATCATCGGTGTCAATTTAGGTGACAGAATGTCCAATGAAAAACTGTTAACATTTACAGGACAACCACGGCTGGAAAACATTATGAGAAGAAATAGGTTGAGGTAGTTTGGACATGTGAACAGAATGAATAATGCCAACAATATGCCCGTAGTAGTAAAGAAAATTATGTTTTCGTACTTTCCTAATACTAGGAGGCCACAAAATTCTGGTGTAAGAAAACGGTGGGAGGTCAAGATCATGGAAGATATTGAAAAACTTCAAAACAAAAATTGGAGAAGAGATAGCTGGAACCGGGATAAATGGCGTGAAATCATCAATAAAATCGTACAAGAAGAAACCGGTGCACAAAAATAAAAAACATTGTATTGTATAGGAATATAAAGTACGAGCGGAGAAAAGAAGAGCGGAGGAGTTAGTAAAAGGAGTTAATAAAATAAAACTGGTGAACCTAGTTACATTGACTTTGTGTAGTGCGCCAGAGGTAGATGGTGTGTAGAGGCCTGCAGGACACGCACAACCTGTCCTAACCTGTCCTGTCCTGGCAGGTTAAGACAGGTTTAGGTTACGAAAATTTTTACAGGACACCTGGTTACAGGTTACAGGTTACACTGTTTTCAACCTGTAAAAAATATACTAAGCGCCATCTGTAAAGGGGAAGAAATAAAAACTCAAAAAATAGTTTTTATTAGCCAAAAACAATATTTAGTGCATCAAGAAGAGTATTGGAAACATGAAGACAGTCGTTGAATCCAGATGTTGTTGACGATATATTATTGATCAGAAATTTCAGAGATCTTTTGTTGTTGTTTTTTGTTGCATAAAAGAAGTAAATGAAAATAATTTACTTTATTAGGAAAAATTTTCGAACTTGAGTATTTTTTTGCAGGACAGGACAGAACCGGTTAAGCAAAAAATATTGCAGGTTAGGACAGGTTACAGGTTACGAGGCATAAGGTTATAAAAGGTTGTAGGTTGTTAACATTTTTACAGGACTGGTTATAGGTTATGAAAAGTTGTAACTTGCAAGGCTCTAATGGTGTGGTTAGTTGACTAAATCAAGTCAATATAACTACCTACATCGATTTTATTTAACTTTGAATTCTTGAAAAGAACAGGTACCAGTTCTCGTTCAACAGGAACTGAATTCGTGACCAGTTCTTTCGAACAGTTCCTAGGAACTATAGGAACTGAAACTGTTCCACCTCTACATGGCAGTAACTGCTTATTGCCCTTGATATTTTTTTCTGCGAGGGATAATTGTCCCAATCGCTCTGCTGGCGGCCCGTCAGTGATGCTAGCAAACATTTTTGATTAAAATTTGATGTCTGGCAACTTTAAGCTATGCTGTGATCAGAATTTATGACACTTTTAAAGAGTTCTAAAATCTGTGTCATACACTGAGGCCGCCATATTTTAGAGTGGATTTCTCTTTTCGTCGTTCTAAGAGTTTTTCAAAATTCTTACTCAGATTAGATGCCAGAGAGCTTGGGATGGTTTTCTTTTGTAGAGAAATGTTGTTGTTTTAACGATACAGAGCCAGTTTTTTGAGTTTCATGTCAGAAGGTAAGAAAAACTAAGGACTCTGAAAAAATCGAAAGAGCTTTTCAGACGGCTTGACGAAAAATGTTTTATGTTAATTAGTCACACAAAATTTTCAAAATCTGGCTCTGTAAGGTGCCAGAAATTCAAAAATTCAGCACGTTTTTATTTTTCATGGTTGGATAGAGTTCGTCGATCTAGAGAATAAAATATGTATTTTAATGTTTGAAAAAATTATTTTCATGTCGAAAAATTGAAAAAGTTCGAAGGATCTAAAATTTCGAAAAGTTTCAAAAAACTCAAATGTTTTTTCATTTTTGTCCTTGTAACTGTTTTGGCAGTACTTTTTTCACATTCAACATCGAGAACTGAGTATGAGAATGATGCTTGATCGAGGTTTATTTTTACATTCTAGAAAACGTTGAAGTTGATTTATCAAACAAAACATTTGCGGGTACCATTCTCCCTTTTTGGCTTTCCGTAGAAATGTTGTCAGATAAAACCTAAAAATGCCTACGGTTTCACATTTCTAGAACTGATAGGAAAGTCAATGGAGCATTTTTTCGTTTTGGTTTCAAGTTTTCAGCTATATTCATGAGTTTTCTAGAAAACTCAGTTTTTCATTGTGCCACATTATGATCCCCTCAAATTTCATCCGATGAAGCCAGAATTGAATTCTCTACAAAATCTGCTATTTGAATCTCTGATAGCATTTTTCTCGTTTGACCACCATTCAAAATATTGAATTGTGCTGAGTAAATATTTGCCTTGATCCCAAAAGAGATTTCATAAGAATTTTGAAAATATCAGAAGACTCTCTGAAAAATTCTACATCTTCGCATGTATTTTTCGAAATTTTGCAGTTAAGTCCACTAGGAAAATTTCTCTGTGCAAAAAACTGATAAATCTAAAATAGCCTAACTTTTGAGCCTATTTTTTATAGATTTTAGTTTTTAGGCTATAAAAGCAGGAAAATCTCCTGAATCCGGGCTTTTACTCTTATTACTTTACGCAGAATTAAATTCTGCATCTTTTAATATATAAAAAAGTTTCTCAAGTGAACTCATTAATTAAAAAAATTAATTTCATTTGAAAAAATTGAAAAGCCGGTTGAGATCTAATTGAGTCCAGCTGTCGTAGCAGAAACATTGTATGAAGTTGTAAATGAGCGATATCGATAGAGTACAAAATTCTCTAACTTTTTACGTAGAAAAGTTAACTATTGAACCACAGACAATGGGCTAAAAATTAAAAAAAAGAGACAATAAAAGCGCGTCGCAGTTCGACAACTCAGCATCATTCAATATTTTGAATGGTGGTCAAACAAAAAAAATGCTATCAGAGATTCAAATAGCAGATTTTGTAGAGAATTCAATTCTCTATCGATTTAATGGATACATCATTAGTTGAAAATTCAACGAACATCGTTTTGCTGTTTTTCATGTCGTCAATTGTCATTCAAGAACTAATCGGCCTGACCACGTAACGGTTTCCTTTTATGCCACAGTCGACATACAAAATCTGACAGAAATAAAACCGCCAACTTTTAGAGCATGCTCGACTGGCGATTGAACGCTGGTTAGAATTTTTGTGTTGCATTAATGAGATACTATAGCAGAAAGTAATGGGTGTCTCTGGGCAAAATCTGTCACTATAGACACACCATGTGTTCAAATACTTACGTATGATTCTGTTGTTATTATATTTGTTTTCTTTTTACGTATATCAAAAGTAACAATGTTAACGTATATTTTGAACTATATTTGG